TCAAGAAGAAATCGGAAGAGTACAACCACTGACCTCCACAAATGTCCACCAGAAATCGATATGAGCGAGGAGTTAAACCCGAAAACGGGTTTCATGAACTTAATCCACATAGGGATGACATGTTTTCGCGTCCTCATACCAGATGTTGTGTTCAATACAACACGAGGTCTCTCCGTATCTATCAGATGATGATGCCATCATACATTAAAGGGATAGAAAGAAAAGTAAAAACTTTTGACAATACAGATGTTAGATTATTATTTACCATATAGAAAAGTTAGCGGTGCAGTTGGAGAAGCCGGGGTTCCATTTCTGCTTCTTATGGATTTCGGGTCAAGGGCCACCGTTACTATAGCAACCCGAGATGCATTCGTTACCTGGAAGAGGAGTTTGGGCAGATATAAATCTTGAAATAATATGTAAGAAGATAATGTACTATCAAACAGCTAGAGGAAAGCAGTAAAAACATTTTACCATAAATGCAAATCTTCGATTTCCACGGGTTTCTCCATCGATGGGAAGTAATCCACCTTGGTTTATGCTCAGTAGGGTAAAAATCTCGGCTGAAGAATTAAGAACCGGTTCTGAGAAATACAAGTAAACCTTCATCTTGTCATAATCATTGGTTGCCTGAACCGTTCTAGTTCGGTTATCTAGCTTAAGCAACTTCTCCGGGACATGAGTTCGCAGGTTGACAAAGACATTTCTTCTGTCTAGATGGCAAAGAGACCGAGTCAAAAATCGGGAAAACCAGACATTCCAGAAATTTCTCAGAGGGTAAAGCCACTTACCGAAATGGATGAGAAAACGTGAGCCTGTAACTCTCTTGAACTTGTTGCCAGAAGCATCAGAACAAACATTCTTGTTCATAACCAGCACAACTCGCCTGTATTGAAGATCGGGAGCTAACCCGACAAGAAGTGAATATCTAAGATACCGTTCAAGAACAGTGAAAGAAGATGGTATTACTTGGCCAGCACCATAGACGAGAAGCTGTTGCAAAGTATTAAACAGTGTCAAAATGTGTTTCAGGAAAGAGAGAAAAATGGAAATTAACATAACAGAATTTTCAACAACGTTTCTGTAACGGTGAAAATACTACGAAGCCGGTTTGATTGTACGGTTTGGAACTGTATTCTTTCTTGCAAGATCTCCGATTATGCCAATCCAACTGAGTCCTTACGGATTTGTTCTACGTTTTTCTTAACATAAAAACTTCCTATGCCATCTTCATGGATTTCTATATTTTGGATATTTTCGAATGCATTTGGTTTCATACCGTGTGGAAATGTTTTTTAATATATGAAGATCAACAAGTTCGGTTAATGTACTGAAAACAAGACGAGTGGTTCGTATAAAAATCATTACTCTGCAGGTCACATACGTCGCAGGAATTCGAGGATGAACATCTGAAACCTCTTCCACCAATGCACGGTTCAGAGAACGAAACATTAACAGTCACATTCCGCGCACTTGTGAAGGGCATTGATGCATTTACATAAGCTGTTGGAGGAATTGTGTCTGCATAAACATGTTACAAATCAAAACAAGGGAATGGTATAGAAGTGGGTTCAAGGATTCGAACCTGAAAACTTTAAAGCAGTAAAAACAGTGGGATCTTAGCTAAAGCCGAGAAGGGGGGATTGTCTTTACCGACAGTCCAGTTATAGCTAAAACAGCGAAACCCTCGTCTTTCTCTTGCACAGACCTCAAATGTATGGTTTCCATCCTGCAACTTCGAGTACGAAATCTTTCCTCGGTGGCAGTCCAAACCGGCTTGGTCATCTAGCTGCGGAGAATAGTTTTTTTAATCAACAGAGCTTACTAATTCACTGTAAAAAGATCTCCATGGAAAGTATCCTGGTTCTAATTTAGATATTAGAACACGATATTCCGAATCTGTGGCAGTCAAGAGATGAAATAAGCATGTTCTGGATTTCTGAAAACCCCTTCTTTTCTACTTAAACGCTAATGCCAAGTGAAAAAGAACAGAAATCTTGAATCATTCATACTAGTGACAAGGGAATAGTCTGAATGTGTTCGACCACTCACGAAAGCCCAATAAGCAGAAGCAAAGAGTGGAACTTTCGGTTTTTAGCCAAACCTGCAAAGCTACATTAGCTTAATATACGAGTTAGAACTTCATGGACGTATTCTTACACAACATCTAATCTTCGGACAGTTTCTGAAATGTAAAATCCGAGGGGGGAGAGAGAGAGAGAGAGAGGAAAAAACGAACCTTGCAACGCAGTTTGCAGCTTGAACAAGTTCTGTTCTTATCCACAAACGCTTGAAACACAAACGTTGTGGAGTTAAACCTAGAATTGACGGAAGGTGCTTTCAGGAACTTGATGGAAAGCTCAGAGCCATAACAGTGATGAACCCTGAAGCACAATGCTGAGAAAACCCATAGAAGCAAAGGAAGCCATGCGGTTTTTACAAGACCCATTTCGCAGAATGTGTCAGAATCTCAAGCCTGAAACTTGCTATTGACAGAAATAGTCGGCAAGGAAGATAAAGCCATGGGCTTTTTTACTCGTGAGATTCTGAACAAAGTACAAGAAGACATTTTTAGAGATAATAAGTCGACGATGATGAAGAGAGAGAGAGAGAGGAGAGGATTTAGCAAGATGGGTCTTTGTTTCTGTGGTCGATGATGGTTCTGCGAGAGGGATAAAGGATAGTGTCCGCTTCTGCATGAGAACGACGAGGGAGCAAAAGAGAGCGATGGAAAGTGGCTCCAAAACAGAGAAAATTGACTAATTGTTTTGTATAATTATTTTACTGGACCGTTCTAATACTTATATATATATATATATATATATATATATATATATATATGTATATAGAAATTAGAAAGGACAATAAGTCGCAAAAGTAATGAACTTTTACATGAGTTATGTCCACGTCGTTAGTGCCTTCGGTTCCACATTTTATTTGTGTTGAATTTGAATTGCAGGGAGAAACAAACAAGAAGCATTAATTTCTCTTCATTAGTGAAATTTTACCATCGTTTTCAACAATAATGGAATTTTAATGAACTCTAAAGGATGAGGTCCCATATGGATTGGAATTTTCTTTTTTTTTTTTTTTTTTTGTAATTTCTATGACTTTGATTTGATAACCCACTCTAATTAATTATAACCACTCCCTGCTTTGATCCTAAAAACAAGTGGTTAAACTTCACAGGTGGTTCTTGAAACAATTTGAATTCATTCCAAACAAACCAGTAACAGTATCCAAAAACTCAACCCTTTCATCATCATAACTTCAAGTTTAGAAAGGTAAAAGCTTTGCTCCAATGGCTACCTCAAAGAAATATACCTTAGTTAATTACCCGCAGATATCAGTTTCTGGTTTCCATAGCCGAAGAAGCCGGTCATAGAATGAGCAAGTAGCCACCACACCAAGCTTCCGATCTTTTCCTCTTTGCCAATCTGCTCCATAAGCGAGAGACCCGTGCTTATTGTAAGTCTCCATTACTTCGGCCTTTCCGTTACCGACATTCACCACAGCAAACCCATTATGCATACAGGCCACCAAAACAATGCCGTCCACCAACGGATGGTGTTTGATTCTCCACACTCCTCCACCAAGACCCACCGAAACATCGTTCACGGGTCTCGAAACCGATCTCATGTCCCATACCCTAAGGTTTTCATCGTAACTTCCTGTGAATACAGAATATGGATTGTTCGGGTTTGGGGCAATACAGCAAACTCCCATGGAATGAGATTTGGAATTCTTGAAAACGTGATTTTGCGGACTTTCCCGGATATCCCAGCAACTGAACTTGCAATCATCGGAACCGGTGTACACCAAATGAGCGTTGTGGAGATCAAAGGATGTTGCCCATAGCTCAAAATCATGTGCCTTCCATTCTTGTAATGTTTCTAGTTTGGAATCAGTGAAGGAAACAACTGAAACAGAACCATCTGATAGACCAATTGCAATGGATGTTGATGACGAATCCCAATCCAGACAAAGACACATGGATGAACTGATCTTTTCACCTGAGATTTCTCTCAGATGAGGCCCTGTTGATTCAGAGAACTATTTTCAGATCATCTACAAGCAACAAAAAACCTAGCTTCTGAGTTGTAACTTGTAAGGAACAAATCAACAATTAGATCCTCTAATCTTTCAACACATCTACCAAATTCGTTTCGCTTTGTATTCCTCAACAGCTTCAGAAGAACAAATTCTGCACAAGTTTTTAAGCTCATCAACAACAGAATACCTGAGAGATCAGAGTCCTACCTCTCTCTTCAGCCTGTTCGATCCCGTAAACTCTCAAGCACCCATCAGCATCGGCCTGAGCAAGCGCCACGCCGCTGCCGAAACTTCCTGCCCCGCCGCGGCTCCACCTGATATCGAACACTCCGGCGGTTTCAACATGTTGGATCAGATTTAAGCGAACGTCCTCGCCGCCGCCGTCGACGTCGAAGAGAGAAATGGAACCCGATCGAGAAGGACGATCTCCCTCTTGTAATGTGTAGGTCGAGGCTGCAAGAAGGTTCGTGTAG